AATCCCCCTCTTTTAACCAGAGCGCCCTTGATTTTTGTCGCCAACTAATCTCCTGAGCTATTGCTAACTCGACTATTTCACTCTTAACCTCCCCCAATCTCACTTTCTCAGGTTCATCTAGCTTCCTCGCCCCTTCCCCTCTCTCTAATACCTCCAATTCATGCATAAGCTCCCTTATTTTGACCTCCACCCTCCCGAAGACCTCCTTATTCCACCTAATAATATCTCCCTTGAGCAATTTGAGTTTCTTCGACAGACGGAATGAGGGTGACCCTGATACCCCGTAGCTGGTCCACCATTCTTGCACTTTGTCACAAAATCCTGGCACTTTCAACCACATGTTCTCGAACCGGAAGGGAGCACGGACCTCCCCCCCTGCATCCATCTATCAAGATGGGCAAGTGATCCGAAGTCAGCCTAGGTAAAGGGATCTGCAACACAATCGGCACCAGCTCATCCCAGGAGGACGATATCAGAAATCTATCGAGTCTGGATCTTGAGTTTGAATCCTCCGCCCTGCCCCAAGTAAACCTTTCCCCTGACAAAGGAAGATCAATGAGAAAGTGATCATTGATGAAGTCAGAAAACTCTTCCATGGCCCTCGAAATCAAATTGCATCCTAATCTCTCCTCCGGGAATGTAATCGTGTTAAAGTCTCCCCCCTAGAACCCATGAAATGTCCTATTCCCCCATAATATTGGCAAGTTCCTCCCAGAAAGACACCTTGGACCCTTCCCCTACCGGCCCGTACACTCCCCCAAATCCCCACTCCACCCCACTCACTCTATCTTTGACGAGAGCTGCCAAAGAGAAAACTCCCTTCCTAATCTCCTTTACCTCCAAGCTTCTATCATCCCGCATAAGTAGAATGCCCCCGACACTTCCCGCTGCTGGGACCCAATCATATTTCACCCAACTACCTCCCCAGACACTTCTCACGATCGCATCCGACAAAACTTCCATTTTGGTCTCCTGAAAATAAACTAGGTTGGCACCCCACTCCCTAACTCCCACTTTGATGATGACCCTTTTGTTTGGGTCATTCATCCCTCTGACATTCCATGAAAGGATCTTAACTTCCATAAGCAACAATAGCCCCCATTTTCCCACCCCTCTAGCCGAGGTCCCTTTCTCCATGTCACACACTCGACCCCTTCTCTGATACACCACTACATCCCCTATTTTCTTTTGATTAACACCTTTACCCAACTCCCTCCCCGCGCCTTCGTAACAAGGCTGTTTCTCAATCTCCCTCAACAGTTCTAGCACCCTATCTTTCTTCCCTTCAAAAGAAACACCTAAGAACTTCCCAAAGTTTAATAGTTTATCCTCCATCCATAAGGACAGATCCCCTTCTCCAATCCGTGACGAAATTGGACATGCGTCTTCTGTAATTACCTTTTCCTTGTCCCTACCGGAGGAATGCAAGACCATAGCATTGCTAGTAATAGGAACTCTGGGTGCCAACCTCAGGAATTAATGCCTCTCTTGGAGGAGATTGTATTGTAATCTCAGCACATCTAAGCACAGTGGGAGATGAGGGAGCGATGGAGCTGGGTCCATCAGAGGCGGGGGGCCGTGGAATAACACCGCCAGCTTTAGCCGGTGCTGCCCCTGGAACAGTGGCCGAAGAGGGGCACAAGTCCCTAGTGCTTGGTGAAGAAATAGCACTGTGTGAGGCATCATTGGCAGAATAAGGAGGAGTGACTGCTCCCATATGTTTAGGAGCCTTATCGGACGCAGCTTGATATAATCTGGGCCCCTTTGGACCGATTCTAATAGAATTGGGAAAAGTTGCTGGGCCCATGTGTGGAGGCCCAGGCCTATGCTTGCTGAAATCTTGCCCGACCCTATGATAGTTAAAAGAGGATCGACCCATTCTACCTTTCCAGCCCGCATCACTAACCCATTCACGTCTTTTCCTCTTGTTAAAATTTTGTCTTCTTCTCCCAAAATCAAACCTCCCGTCACTTCTCGATCTAACGTCTGATTCCAGCTTAGTCCACTGATCCGGTGAGTCCTCCCCTCCCCTCAGAAACTGATTTCCCCTTCCCTTCTATTTGACCTTTCCTTTTCTTCCGCCAAAATCACAAGCATAAAGATAGGGCGAAATTCAGGGCTCAACCAAACCCTGTAGCTCAAGTAGCCATCTTCCACCACAGTGGAGATAGGGATTCTGCCCCCTTTCCTCACCACAATCCTTACTCGCGAGAGATCGTGCAAGCTGCAAGTGACATCAATGAAACCCCCACAGATTTCCCCAACCTTCTTGAATAGGTCAAGACACCAGAGATGCACCGGGAGACCCACCATGTTGACCACCAATGTTTCGCCAGCGAAACGAGGGTCGAGACACCCATCGTGCTCCACCCATCTGTCTAACTTTAAGAAATTCCCATCGAACCACCTGTTTCCTCTGACAAGAATTTCTGAAGCTTGAGACTCGTCGACAAATCAAAAAAGATATTGCGTGTCCCCCAGTTGCGATATTTTCAGCCCGTCCTTGACGTTCCATGCCTATGCTGTCCAGTTCCTAACAGCTTTTGGAGGACCAACCCATTTGGAGAAAGACCCAATCAAACAAGAGTCCAAAAAACCTTTACGCCTGAGAGTGTGCTCCTCGGACAGCGAGAAGTGTGGCTCCTGCCCTACGTCAAGCTTTCGCTGGCATCTTCCCCCAAGTTCGAGGGCTGGCCAAGATGCAGCTTTGCTAAAAGACTTGCTTTCCAATTTTCTAGATTCTAGGGAGAAGTAGGAGCTTCTCTCTGTAGAGTCCGTCATAGCTAAACCAAGAGCCTCGCGAGGAGATTGACTGAAGAAGAGAAAGTGTGAGGGAGTGAAATCTGGCCGGAAAAAGACACCTCCGTCGCCGGAAAATAGCAAAGTGGTCGGAAGTTGGAGGTTGATGGATGGGTGAGGTCGGAACAACCTCGCAAAGAGGCTGTCTGAAGGAAAAAAGTTGGGATCTAAGGTGTCACGCGTCGGCGCGTGGGCTAGGGGTGGTCGGAGATCTGCCGCGCGTGGCGGCGCGTGGGGTGTCAGTTCCCGGTTCTTTTTGGGGTAGTGTCGCGACAGGGTTGGCTCTCGGATGGTGGTGGTGAGGTCCTAGGATTCATGATTCATGGTGGTGGTGAAGGGGTGGGTTGGGGTGTCTGTGTGCTACAGTACCTCGGAGGCAATAGTCTCCAGAAAGCTGCAGAAAAGACCATCAGAAAGCTGGACGAAAAGACCGGATTTCCCTCTTAACTGCCATAGTATTATATGTGAGAAACATTAACAAGACATCATCTTGGAATACTTGGTAGAAGATAGTTTAAACAAATCAGTGAAATAACGCAAACTGTTTTGCAGACATCTGGAGAAGCATTTAGGCTTTTTAACCATTGTTTTTAAGTATGTAATAAATGAAGGCCCATTTGAGAAATAAAAGTTGAAAATTTAGGGACTATGTGGAGAGTACCAACTCGTTCTATTTCTAATGATAATATTATACGTTTACTGATCTTGGTTAAAGAGTCATTCCTTTGACTCGTGATAAGCAACAAGTACAAGACTAAAGGAAGTAGGTGTTAAAATATTGAAAAGGAAGACAAAACTAAAGATGTGGCAAGATTTCTTATTATTATATTGTCCACCGTGGTTATAAATGGCAAACTTATGTTCTTTTCAGTATTTGGTATGTCTTGGACCATGCCTAACTCCATTTCAGAAATGCTGAAGTGCTGGACCAGGGAGGGTCTATGCAAGAAAGCTCAAAAGACCTGGAACACTATTCCTCAAGTTATCTGTCGGCGGTCTGTCTGGCTTGAAAAAAACAGTAGAATTTTTGAAGGCAAAAGAAAAAATTTACAGTGCCTTAAACTTAATTGCATTTTGTTGATCGGTTTTTGGTGCAAACTGGTTTTTGTACCAGATGTAGATGATATTTTAGACACAATTGCTGATTTGCACAACCTGTAATTAGGCCTGTTGCACTAGCTTGGTGCAAATATTTATATAATAAATTATTTACCCATAAAAAAAAATGGCAAGCTTATGTTGTATGGAATTGGCACGTCATCTGCTGTACCCTATGCTTCGAATACAATTGGCAGGTATGAAAAACTCTTACCGTCTTATGACCTGAATAGTCTAATATCTTCCAAGTAGTTTTTTCCTTGACATGTGAGAGTGAAAGTTGTCTTATTATTTGGCACCAACCGGTTGCCACCAAGTATAGACAGGCTGAAAGTTGAGCTATAGAAAAGTGTGTGTACGAAGTTACTATAATTAGTTCATTCTTTTAAGAAGCTATTGGTAATTGCAAAGAGAACCCATATCCCTTAGGCTTTGGTTCAACAACAAAAGTTGTGCAATGTGGAATGCAATATGTGCTAGGTGCACACCACGAGTTCAAAGCTTGGCTGTTCGACCGAAGTCTGCTATTTAAGTGGAGAAGACTAAAGGGACAAGTCCATTGTCCCCAAATTTTCTCGGTTAAAAAAAAATTGACAAGAGAGTAAACAAGACCATGCCCTTAGGAAAATGTCCCAAGAGTTTGCCATGTCTTCCCTTGTGTAATTTTCGAGCTATTCTTCCCCAGATCTGTGGATCATTCACTGTATTCTTCCCAAAAAACTAAGATGAGCCTGCTAAGGTCCATAAACAATGTGAAACGGATAATTAGTGGTATCTTTAGTCTCGCCGCACAAAACATATGGGCAGTATAGTTTCTCCTTTTGAAACCAGAGTGTTGTGTGTGTGTGTGTTGGTGGGGGGGGGGATTCAAGATAGCTGCTGGTCGTGAATTACGATTTACCTTTTGTATCTGACTCATTCACTATTATTTCCCATCCTTGGTCATTTTCTATTTTTCAGAATGGATGCACTTCTAAATTATCTGTGTTAATATTTTAATTGATTTTGCGCTTTTGCAGTCGCTTCTTGGTATTAGTTTGTCTTAACTATTTTACGTGGTGTTTTAGTAAAGGCTTACCATCCTTCAGAGTTTTGCTGTTCAGGTAGTTGTTGTTTCTAAAGTATCATGGCTGAGCAACAATCAGTTGAAGGGTCAAGCACAAGCAATGTTTCTAGTGGAAGTTCTGAATCAACCGTGGAGCTCAATATCAAGACCTTAGATTCCCAGACACATCCTTTTAACGTGGATAAGAATGTAAATTTTGTTACTTATTGTTTCTGTTGCAACTTATGCTGAAAAAGAGTAACTACCATCATGCTTATTCGGTTGGATGTGAAGCTTTCTTAAACTTGTGCTGATTTTGAAAAGTATGATTGTTTCCCCTTTCTGTTTGCCAGAAATAATGTATTGACATGTAGAAACCTTTTCTCAAATAAGGTCCTATCAATATGAAGTTGAATGTGAATTTTAGCAGTTGGAATCTTTTATCACCCACGTGCACGTGCACTGTACCGCTCTGATATATCTCTTCTTGGCACTATCATATCTCAATGTCAGATGCAAGTTTCAGCCCTGAAAGACAGAATATCAAGTCAGATTGGTGTACCTGTTGAGCACCAAAGGCTAATTTTTAGGGGCAAGGTCTTGAAGGATGATCACCTTCTTTCGGAATATCGTATCCTATCAACTGGGAAATTCAAGTTTTCCCACTTTGTACATCTAAAATATTTTTTGTCCTAAACTCGACAAGTCTTTGGTGGGAATATTGTTTTCTCTTTAAAATTTGTTGGACAGGGTTTTCTGTTAAATGTTGTATATGTGCATTTGGGTTCTTACATCTCTCTTGAGGTAATTTCTAGGATTTCATCATTTCGTGTAAGCTTATTCCACCTTTTTTGTTTCTATCATCTCATAGCTGATTGTTAAATGCTTAAACATAATCTGAAATAATTTTTTAAAAAAACTGTAAAAGAACTGTTAGCGTGATTAGGCAACTGCTACAACCCGAAATACCATTTTTTGTCTGAAAACTTCAACCCTTAAAGTCAAATTTTTGATGTGCGCCTAATCCGCAAAGCAAGCTTAGGAATGAATCTAATAGAAATTTTGGTGTCCTTCCCCTTGGGGTATTGATCTCAACAGGGTAATTCTAGTTGACATTTGACACTGCCACCAACCCAAACCTTTCTTCATTGCTTTTTTCCATTGGTCATCTAGTGGTGGCCAAGTTAGTAATTAATTTTAGCGAGCTGTTTCCATCTAACAATTTGATTGACTTCTCACCTCTAATTTTTATCGTGGCTATGATTAATTTTAGGGACTTTTCTTTGGCCAGCTGATTAGATGCAAACTCCAATGCTTTGTTAAACAGAGTTTTACAGATTTGCCCGATTGGGTGTAATATTTTTGCAAAAATGGAGTCTGTCATCTATGATTTTTGGGTTTCTTGCCAAACCTTGACTCTTTACAGATGTGGAAAATGGGGACACACTACATTTAGTACTGAGGCAATCTCAACCGCAACCTTCATCGGTTAGCAGCACTGGACAAGCCACTACTAACAATGTTAGCAGAGGTAAAGGTTGTGCGATTTGAAATTTAGGCTTTAAGGTCATTTGGCTGAATTTATTGGTCAGATGAGTAACAATCAATTTTATTATCTTTGAGCATCACAGGACAAGAGTCTCAACCTTCTGCTGGAGGCTCACGGCGTGTCGGGCAGATTTCACACAGTGTTGTCCTAGGAACTTTTAATGTTGGAGATCAGGGGGAAGGAGTTGTGCCTGATCTTAGTCGGGTGCGTTTCATAGAAGTTGCAAGCTTTTATAATCAGTGTAATTTGAGTTAATTTGGGAGAATCTCATAACAGAAAATGTCCAACTTTCTAGGTTATTGGGGCAGTTTTAAACACTGTAGGGATTGGGAACATGACTGGTGGCCAGCTTCCTGGTGTGCAGGTCCTTTTCCCACCTTTTTCTCTTATATTTCAGATCTCTTAGATTTACCTGCTTCTTTTATATTTTACTGGGATTTCTCTATTTTGTGATCAGCCCTTTCAAGTTTCAAAACTACAGGACCCTCACTAATATGTGGCTTTTAATTTTGCTTACGTTCACCTAGCAAGGTGCTGTAGAATTGCATCTGCGTTGTCCACTGCTTCCTCCCTAATCTTTGCTTGGTGGGTTGGTTTGTGAATAGGTCAGTGCTCCAGTTCCTCCACCTCAAGGAAATGAGAGTCAAAGTCAGCAATCTGGGCAGGCATTTGCTGGTCAATCTTTACCTCAAGTAGTTCAAATTCCACTGGGGGCAGCATTAGCTGTCCCCTCAATTAATTCAGTAAGAATGTCTTTCAGATATTGTGTTACTTTCTGTCTCATGTTGTTCTTGGCCATTTTTGACTCATTTCTTTTCTCTTTTCTTTTTAAATGTTGAAGCCCATTCCTGATTCCTTGCACACGCTTACTGACTTCATGAATCGCATGGAGCTCGTATTCTCACAGAACGGTGAGAATTTTTTTCATTTTTGCTTCTTCTCTTATGGTGGAGTAAATCTCTAAATGACTTCGCATCCTCTTACCCAGGTTACCCGCCAAACCAGTCACCTAATACTGCAGCAGATTCACCTGCAGTACAGTTGCCTACAAATTCTCATGGCTTATCGACTCCAGAGGCATTGAGCACTGTTCTGCATCATGCAGAGCGTCTCTTTGGCGGTCATGTCATTGCGGCATTATCTGTATGTACCGTGACCCTGATGATCTCTTTTTGTTATTAATGTTCTGGTCCATCCCTGTATCCTCACATTCTAGTATCTGCAGGGCTATAGTGTTACCTGTTAAGAAATCAACAGGCAAGAAGCATTTTTGACTATGATCAATAGCACATGCTGTGCAATGCACATGTTTTTGGCTAATCTGGAACTGGAATCACCATATGTGGCCTGAGTTCCTAGCTTGAGTTTCTCTGTCTTGAATTATTCACAAGCTAGAGCGATTATATTTTGCTAAAATCAAAACCGTTCTTGGAAATGACTATTCTTTGGCTTGAAAGGACCAAAGTGCAAAAGTTCTTTAATCTCTGTCAAAGAAAAGGGTTTGGGTGGTGGAGATAGAGTGCAAAGGTTTAAATATTAAATAATCATTTTTGTAAAAGTCACTCTCTCCGTTGAGAATTGGGTCCAGCACTAGATCATTTGTTTTCTATCCTGCAACATGTGTAACACTTCAATAAGCCTATAAAAATCTTAAGATCTTAAATTCTAGCTTTCTCAATTGCCTCGCAATATTAGGAGTCATTAACACACTGATATTTTTTTCTGATAAGGTAATAAATTTCATTAAAAAAGGGCAAAACATGCCCGTATACAAGGAGTATACCTAAAAGTGGAAAACCTTACAAAAGGACATGGTTTTCTACGAATGACACCCAATCTTCTATACAAATAGGAACCTCATGGGTGCACCAAAAATAAACAAGGGAAAAGAGGCTACTCCTCAAGGCTCTCCTATTCCTCTCGTACCAAACAACCCACATGAGTGCTAGGGGTGGCAACATTCCAAGCTCTGCGTTTTCTCTTCTGTCTTCTGAAGGCCCAACTAAACATAGCTTCTTTCACCGTGCCTGGTCCAATTATTTGGATGTAGATTGGAGATAAAGGGTGGATTAGTTAAGATCACTTGGGAAGATGGGAAGAAATTACAGTAATGGCAGTTATTGAGCCTGGATGGAGAGAGATAGAACCATTTTCTGTGGCAGCGTTCTCTGGTTTTTCCGTGTTAATGTATCTCATATAAGGATGTGCTCATTTAGGGTAAGTTTGCAAGGCCCCAGGAATTGTCCTCCTGATGCTTGTGGATTACTCTTTGATAAAACAAAGGGGGCAGACTAGTTGCCACGAGGAACCCCATGATACAGAAGAGGGACAGAGGGGGAAGAGGATAGGTAGGTTTAGAAGAGTATTTCTTGTTTTCCAGCTAGAGTCTTTTTTATACAGAAAGAATAAAAGGGTCAATCATATTCATGCATAGAAATGTAGGCATATAAAAACTTCCCCAGCTATGGGAGGGTTGAGCTCTGCTTGATAGTTGCTAGCTGCAAACCTCAATCAAGCTGCAGTTGCTTGCAAGTTGGCTAGGTTCTCATGCTGAGACTAAACTTGCACCATATTGACATGATAGTAGAATATCAGTCCTTTGTGCTTTTAATGGTATGGATGATAATGGATCCTTCTTCTCTGTCTGTTCTTACCCTGTGAAAAATGGAATGATATGCTCCACGTCTGTTGAATCATGTCTTGACTACAACCTTCCCGAGCTGTAATGATGATAGATTATCACCATGTTTGGGCTCAATAAGCAGTGTATCAAAGGCGAAAACGCAAAAAAGCTCTAAGGTCCATTGGGGCTTTAAGCGCAAAGCGCAGTTAAAGCGTGAGCTTTAATGAAAAAGGCGCAACTGAAGAAAAAGTAAAAAATTGTATATGTAGTCCAAGACCAATAATTATAAGCATGAATAACAAATATATGGACAAAGAAATTGAAAAAAATTATAATAAAGTGAAATATCAATTGTTTAGTGTCGCCTTTTCAAGATTACACTCATTGGCAAGAAAAAGTATGCCTTAGAGCCTTGATGTGTCACTGAAGCGCATCAAGGCTCTTCACTTTATGCCTTAGTCCAAGACCAATAATTATAAGCATGAATAACAAATATATGGACAAAGAAATTGAAAAAAATTATGATAAAGTGAAATATCAATTGTTTAGTGTCGCCTTTTCAAGATTACACTCATTGGCAAGAAAAAGTATGCCTTAGAGCCTTGATGTGTCACTGAAGCGCATCAAGGCTCTTCACTTTATGCCTTAGTCCAAGACCAATAATTATAAGCATGAATAACAAATATATGGACAAAGAAATTGAAAAAAATTATGATAAAGTGAAATATCAATTGTTTAGTGTCGCCTTTTCAAGATTACACTCATTGGCAAGAAAAAGTATGCCTTAGAGCCTTGATGCGACACTGAAGCGCCCACAAAGCGAGGCGAAGCGTTCAACATGTTTTGAGCCTCGCTTCAGGGCTTAAGCGCGCCTTTGACAACACTGACAATAAGTAATTTACTTGATAAATTATGAGGATACTAAATACAGTGCTCGGATATATCTTAAGAGGGAAGTTCCTTACAGCAAATCTCTCGTGCTCACGCCTTGGACAAGTTGCATGATGTTCACCTGTTTTTACTGCAACAGCATGCATGCATGGGACCATACTGTAGATATTGCTCTTGTTCTCTATTCTCTAAAGACGTGGAACTTGATGGGTCAAATAGCGTTCGTCCAATTGCGTCCCCATACTGTGAAATCTCGTAGCATTAGATGCAATGTGTCTGCAGCCTTACTCCTGCATTGCTTTGGAGAGTTCCATTACCTTCTGTCTCTGATGGAGTACTTTTACAGTTCCATTAAGTATCACTAATAAGATATTTTAAGTGGCCATTGATAAAGCTATGGTTCCTAGAATTAATAATCACATTCACTCTTTTTCTGCTGTAACTGCCATTGTCCAACTTTTTACTTTCTTTTGCATTGTCAACTTGCTCTTATCTAGCCGAACAAACAGGTGTTAGTTACATGTCTTTCTTTCTGAAAAGTTATTCTCCTTCTCTCTCTCTGATTTTGTTTACTAATCGTCTGCCACTTTATAGCAAATTGCAGGACGGTTGGAACGGGAAGGGGGCTCCAGTGATCCTGCAGTAAGGGGACAGGTGCAGACAGAATCAGTGTTAATTGGTCAAGCAATGCAACATTTAGGTGCCCTTCTACTAGAGCTTGGGAGGACGATATTGACTCTCAGAATGGGACAGTCACCTGTATGTCCTTTTCTTCTCTTATTGGTGGCTAAGCATTTTCTGAAAATGCTTTCTTACAGTCGTTAAATTGCTCTTTGCAGGCCGAATCTTCAGTAAATGCTGGTCCTGCTGTTTACATATCTCCCACAGGGCCGAACCCCATAATGGTTCAGGTCTGTTAGACAGTTAAAAGTAGAGAGATTAGTCTAGGTTTGCAATCTGAAAAATAGGTAGATGTTCCTTTTTTAACTTTTCATCCCGTGACTTATTGCTCTTCTTCGATGCAGCCTTTCCCCCTTCAAACCAGTTCACTCTTTGGTAGCTCAACTGCTGTTCTCCCTAATCCTGGCCCCTTTGGCGCTCTTGGGATTGGTAGTGCTCCAAGGCATGTCAATATTCATATACATGCCGGTATGAAAAATCTTCTAGTATAGAATATTCTGTATTTTGTTATCGTTTTTCCTTATTTTCTTTGGGGCATTGCAATTAATTGGGAGGAAATGTGTGTAAACCTTTCTAACTATGGGTGCTTTTAGCACCTATAATTTCTGCAGTTGGTGCTAGGGCGACCAATGGAGATGGAGCACAGGGTGAACGTGGTAATGGAACTGACTCTGGCCAATCAAGGGCTTTGCCTGTCCGAAATATAATGGCTACAGCTGTTCCACCAAGGCCTGCTGTTATCTCAGTCTCTAGTATGCCACAACCTGGTACATTTTTGGATATTAATGTTCTATAACAATATATTATTGTATCTGAACTTATTGTGGGCTGAATGCGTCTTGATAACACATGTAAACATCTATACTTTGTCATTGGTTGATAATGATACATGTTGGCGATATACTCTCTGAAGTGCTTTTCTGTATTATGAAGGCCAATCAGAGAGCTCAAGTGGCCTAGAACACACTACTGTATCTGGTGCTGTGAATGATACTGTAAGCACTCAACTAGGTATCACATCTGCAAGTGGGATGACTGTGCCTGAGCCGCTACTGGCGCATGATTGTCCTGGAAGAGAGGATAAAATGGTCGGTGCTAATACGGTGCTAATAAAATGATTCTGTGACCTGTCTTTTTTTCCCTAGTACGACATATCTAGGCCTAATTAAACTTGTAAATGCCAGGGTCAAGGTCAATCAAGCGAAATGTCTTTTGGTAAGCCAGAGGCCTCAGCCAGTGCGGGAGGAGCTCAAAGATCTGGTCAGGAGTTAGGTAGTCCTGATGAATCCTCATCTGTGCCCCTTGGCTTAGGGTTTGGAGGTTTGCAGCCAAAGGTAGGCAAGCCTTTATGATGCTGCTTCCCGGATATGTCTGATTATTTGATTTGGCTGGAAGATGGAGTTATAATAGAATATTCATTTTTATTTACAATATAGTAGACTGTTTGAAAGGATATGTGATAAGGAGTTAGAAGCCTCTAACCAATTTATATTGGAGTGATGGCATTCACCAGTTTCTGCCGCTTCATTGTCCGTTGTAATTAATGAATGATTTTGTGTCTGCTGATTTGTTTAATGCTCATGTTCCATGAAGTGCTAGGTCAAATTTTCTTGAGTTGCTTTCATGTGCCCTAAGTTTGTTTTTTCTTTTGTCTTGTCAATTATTTATTTACCTTAAATTTAGCATTCACATCTCGCTCAAGAGTTTTAAAAGTTGATATTCTATAATAAATAAGCCTGCAACTTGTGATGTCGGGTCAGGGGAACATCACAGGTTCGAACCCTGCAACAAACAATAGCCTGGTAATTAAGGGGAGAAGGGTAGAGGGACGAGCCCATTATCTATCGAGTTTTGAACTGTGCACCAATGACCCTCTGAGATTTCTCAGTTATTAAAAAAAAAATTCTATCAGTACCGGTGTGGTCCGGCCCTTGTTATGCGGGAGCATAGCGCATCGGGCTGCCCTTGTTGTTGCTATATAAACTAGAAGATAGAAGATTCGGACTTCTGGATTTGAGTCAATTTTCTTGACCATCAGGGTTGAGTTAGTGAACTTGTAGTTTCTTCTGCTGTCTTGATGATCATTTTCTTTACATGTATAAAAATTAGTTGAGGAGCTGGAGCTGCCCTTTTAACGATTTGACCCTAAATCTTAAATCAATATGTTGAATTAGTGTGTACCGGGGTTTGTCAGGACGATGCTTTTATTGTTGATCTCACAAGTCATAACTGAAGAAATCTCAGAGGGCCATCGGGCTGCCCTTCTTGTTGTTATATAAACTAGAAGATAAAAGATTCGGACTTCTGGATTTGAGACAATTTTCTTGACCATCAGGGTTGAGTTAGTGAACTTGTAGTTTCTTCTGTTGTCTTGATGATCATTTTCTTTACATGTATAAAAATTAGTTGAGGAGCTGGAGCTGCCCTTTTAACGATTTGGCCCTAAATCTTAAATCAATATGTTGAATTAGTGTGTACCGGGGTTTGTCAGGACGATGCTTTTATTGTTGATCTCACAAGTCATAACTGAAGAAATCTCAGAGGGCCATCGGGCTGCCCTTCTTGTTGTTATATAAACTAGAAGATAAAAGATTCGGACTTCTGGATTTGAGACAATTTTCTTGACCATCAGGGTTGAGTTAGTGAACTTGTAGTTTCTTCTGTTGTCTTGATGATCATTTTCTTTACATGTATAAAAATTAGTTGAGGAGCTGGAGCTGCCCTTTTAACGATTTGGCCCTAAATCTTATATCAATATGTTGAATTAGTGTGTACCGGGGTTTGTCAGGACGATGCTTTTATTGTTGATCTCACAAGTCATAACTGAAGAAAAAGTCAGATTTGTGAATGCTTTCTGGAATTGTTTCAACCTTTCACGACTTTCTGTTTCTTGTACTGCTTTTCAATTTTGGTCCTGGACTTGACTTTTTTTTTTTT